CCACTCTGGAAAACAGTATGGAGGTTCCTCAAAACGCTGAAAATAGAGCTACCGTATGATCCAGCAATTGCAGTACTGGGTATTTACCCCAAAGATACAAATGTAGGGATCCGAAGGGGTACATGCATCCCAATGTTTATAGCAGCAATGTCCACAATAGCCAAACTGTGGAAAGAGCCAAGATTTCCATCGACAGGTGAATGGATAAAGAAGAAGATATATACAATGGAATATTATGCAGCCATCAAAAGGAATGAGATTTTGCCATTTGCAACGACGTGGATAGAACTGGAGGGTGTTATGCTGAGTGAAATAAGTCAATCAGAGAAAGACAGATATCATATGACCTCACTGATACGAGGAATTCTTTATCTCAGGAAACAAACTGAGGGTTGCTGGAGTGGGGTTGGGGTGGGAGGGATGGGGTGGCTGGGTGACAGACATTGGGGAGAGTATGTGCTACGGTGAGCGCTGTGAATTGTGCAAGACTGTTGAATCACAGATCTGTACCTCTGAAACAATGCAATATATGTTAAGAAAAAAAAAGAAGAAGAAGATAGCAGGCGGGGAAGAATGAGGGGGGGAAATCGGGGGGGAGGCCAACCATGAGAGACAATGGACTCTGAAAAACAAACTGAGGGTTCTAGAGGGGAGAGGGTGGGGGGATGGGTTAGCTTGGTGATGGGTATTAAAGAGGGCACATTCTGCGTGAAGCACTGGGTGTTATACACAAACAATGAATCATGGAATACTACATCAAAAACTAATGACGTAATGTGTGGTGATTAACATAACAATAAAAAACTTAAAAAAATCTTCAAAAAAATATTAGCAAATAAATTCCAACAATGCATAAAAAGAATTACACACCATGACGAATTGGGATTTATGCCAACTATACAAGGGTGGTTCACCATCCAAAAATCAACATAACCCATCTCATCAAAAGTCTAAACAAAAAAACCTACAGAAAACTCACATGATCATATCAAAAGATATAAATTTAAAAAAGCATGACAAAATCCAATACTTGTTCATGATTAAAAACTCAGTAAGCTAGCATTCTCATCTTGATAAAGAATACCTACAAAAACCCTTTAGCAAAGGACACACTTAATGATGATAAACTTGAAGCTTTCCCACTAAGATCAAGAACAACGCAAGGATGTCCTCTCTTACCACTGCCTTTCAACATCTTACTCGAAGTACTAGCTAATGCAATAAGACAAGAAAAGCAAATAAAAGGTACATAGATTGGGAAGGAAGAAGACTGTCTTTATTCACAGATACGATCATCATTCCTATAGAAAATCCAAAAGAATCAACAAAAAATCCCCAAATAATTATAGAAAGGTTGCAGGATATATGGTAAATTTACAAAAGTAAAAAATCGCTTTCCAATACACCAGCAATGAACAGTGGAATTTTAAATAGAAAACACAATACTACTTCCATTAACACACAAAAAAGAAATACTTATATATAAATCTAACAAAATATGTGCAAGATCTAAATGAGGAAAACTATAAAACTGTGATGAAAGAAATCAAAATATAAATAAATGGAGAGATGTTCCATGTTCATGGATATGAACATTCAATATTGTTAAGATGTCAGTTCTTCTCAATTTGATCTACAGATTCGAAATCCCAGCAAGTTATTTTATGGATACCAACAAACTGATTCTAAGGTTTATATGGAAAGGTAAAAGATTAGTGGTTGCCAGGGTTGAGGGAAGAGGGAAGGATGAACAGGCAGAGCACTGAAGATTTTTAGGGCAGTGAAACTGCTCTGTATGATACTATCATGATGCATACACGTCATTATGCATTTGTCCAAATCTACAGACTGTACAACACCAAGAGTGATTCCTAATGTAAGCCATGAACTCTAGGTCATAATAATGTGTTAGTGTAGGTTTATTAACTATACCACTGTGGTGTGGGATGTTGATAGTGGGGAGGTTTTACATGTGCGAGGATAGGGAATAAATGGGAACTCTCTGTACCTTCTGTTCAATTTTGTTGTCAACCTAAAACTGCTCTAAAAAAATAAAGTTTATGAACTGAAAAAAATAGATGATATAAATGGGTAAGTAAAAAAAAGAACTTTAGATGACTAACAGAGATACAGAAACATACTTAACTTTATAAACAAAAATGAAATACTGTATTTTTTCACTCAAAGAAGTGAACACTAAAAACTGACAATATTCAAGTATTAGTGATGATTTGGGACAATGGGTTTTCATATGTTGCTGGTTGTAATGTAAATTGGTGCAGCAGTCCCCCCTTATCCATGATTTCATTTTCCATGGTTTCAGTTTAATTGTGGTCTGGAAGCAGATGATCCTTCTGATGTATCATCAGGAGGTCAGCCTAATGCTGTGTCACAATGCCTACATCCTTCACCTCACTTCATCTCATCATGTAGGCATTTTATCATCTCACATCATTACAAGAAAAAGAACAAAAGTACAAAAGGATATTTTGATAGAGAGACCACATTCTCATGACTTTTATTACAGTATATTGTTATAATTGATCTATTTTATCGTTTATTATTGTTAATCTCTTACTGTGCCTGATTGATAAATTAAACTTTATCATAGGTATGTATGTATAGGAAAAAAGCAGTACATATAAGGGTACTATCTGTAGTTTCAGTCATCTACTGGGGGTCTTGGAACATATCCTTCACAGATAAGTGGGGGACTACTATATAACTACTTGAGAAATTCCTGCATACAAATACAAAACTGCAAAAAGAAAAATACCCAAAGAGTAATGGCAGTAACATACTGTTTATGGATATGTAAACACACAGATACGGAGAAACGCATGTACATATGTGTGTGTTGATGTATTTTTAAAAGTACAAGAAGGATACACACTAACTTAGGACAGTGGTTGCTTTGTGATGGGAAATTATAAGAATGTGACTCAAGAACTTTACCTCTATTATTGTGACTTAAAAAAAAGTCTTGCAAAATGGTAAAATGTCAGTTATTAATTCTAAGATAACAGGAATTAGGTAATTTTTATATAATTTCTTATACTTTTCTGTATTTTTTCCTAAAAATTCCATTAAGCTTAAAAAACACTGTAATTTCAGTCATTAGATCAAAACAGTAATGTCCTGGGCGCCTGGGTGGCTCAGATGGTTAAACGTCTGCCTTCGGCTCAGGTCATGATCCCAGGGTCCTGGGATCAAGTCCCGCATCGGGCTCCCTGCTCCTTGGGAGCCTGCTTCTCCCTCTGCTTCTCTCTGTCTCTCCCTCTGTCTCTCATGAATAAATAAAAAAAAAAAATTAAAAAAAAAAAAAAAAAACAGTAATGTCCTACATCCCTCCTAAATCTATGATATAACAGAATTATGTACTAGTGATAATGACAATAGTTCACATTTTCTCTGATGGTTGAATACTTCCTGTCACATGACATAACTGGGTCAGCCAAAAGTAATCCACATTTCATCTCAGAAAGCATAGAGTTACTACAAGAGTGTTCAAGTTGCAGACTGCTTAAGGAAGACAACATTCATGGTCATTTCCTTAGGAGCTGTGTCAGGCCTTCAGTGAAGGAAGTGACACAATGTGCCTGAATCACTAAAATCAAATAGTGACTTATGTGAAGGAAACATTGCAAAACCTATACCCTGAAAATGCCTTTTTTCTTTTCCTTCCCAAGACATAAAAATTAAGTCATCAGAACGAAGTATTACATAATACATACCTGACACACTTCTAGTAAGGAAAAAATCTATATTAGGTTCCTCCTGTTCCATCTTACCTCAGTAATTCTTTATCTTAAAGTAATAAAAAAAACTTTCAAGAATAAAGTGAAAAACTGACATACACATACAAGCATACATAGCTCGCCCCAACCTACTCTTTGAAATAAGCTGTTAATCATCAGTCATATATACGTCACACAACTAATACTTTCATAGGGAAGAATTTAATACTTACTAAAAGTCTTACAGATGTCAGAAACAGCTTTGAAGACTCTATCAGAGAAATTCACTTTCACCTTCACATACTTCATGTTGGGAAGCTGCAGGCGGAGCAGTTTGTGCTGGGGGGTGAACTGAAGCTTAGCATCTGCCTGAATGCCGTACTTATCCAAGGTCCAATGTGTTTTAAGAAGCCAAGTTCTCTTCTTTTCCCACCAGAGAGCATGGTCAGACCAATCCTTTTTTACATCTATAAAAAAAAAAGCAATAAACAAAACACTTAACAATCCAAGATTACCTTGAGAGAAATTATAAGAAGAAAACTAAATTGGGCACTTAATACAAGTAACTAAATACTAAGTGTCTTTTATGTGATAGGTACAAAAGAGATCCTTAAGAGCTGAGAAAACACTCTGTGCCCTTGAAAGCCCATACACAAGGTAGCTGAGGCAGAATACACACTGTATGCTCAACATCGCTCAGCATCAGGGAAATCCAAATCAAAACCTCAATGAGATACCACCTCACACCAGTCAGAATGGCTAAAATTAACAAGTCAGGAAACGACAGATGTTGGCAGGGATGCGGAGAAAGGGGAACCCTCCTACACTGTTGGTGGGAACGCAAGCTGGTGCAACCACTCTGGAAAACAGTATGGAGGTGCCTCAAACAGTTGAAAACAGAGCTACCCTACGACCCAGCAATTGCACTACTGGGTATTTACCCCAAAGATACAAATGTAGGGATCCGAAGGGGTACGTGCACCCCGATGTTTATAGCAGCAATGTCCACAATAGCCAAACTGTGGAAAGAGCCAAGATGTCCATCGACAGATGAATGGATAAAGAAGATGTGGTATATATACACAAGGGAATATTATGCAGCCATCAAAAGGAATGAGATCTTGCCATTTGCAACAACGTGGATGGAACTGGAGGGTATTATGCTGAGTGAAATAAATCAATCAGAGAAAACATGGATCATATGACCTCACTGATATGAGGAATTCTTAATCTCAGGAAACAAACTGAGGGTTGCTGGAGTGGTGGGGGGTGGGAGGGATGGGGTGGCTGGGTGATAGACATTGGGGAGGGTATGTGCTATGGCAAGCGCTGTGAATTGTGCAAGACTGTTGAATCACAGATCTGTACCTCTGAAACAAATCATGCAATATATGTTAAGAAAAAAAAAAAGAAGAAGATAGCAGGAGGGGAAGAATGAAGGGGGGGAAATCGGAGGGGGAGACCAACCATGAGAGACGATGGACTCTGAAAAACAAACTGAGGGTTCTAGAGGGGAGGGGGTAAAGATGGGTTAGCCTGGTGATGAGTATTAAAGAGGGCACGTTCTGCGTGGAGCACTGGGTGTTTTATACAAACAATGAATCATGGAATACTACATCTAAAACTAATGATGTAATGTACGGTGATTAACAATAAAAAAATTTAAAAAAAAAGAATACACACTGTAACTAATAATGCTTACATCAGGTACAATATAGGACACAGGGATGAAGAGGGATTACACTGTAGTCACTCAGAGAACAAAGAGAACCCTGGGGACTGGACATGGAAAAATTAATAATGAAGTGGAGTTGGTGGGTTCTAAGCCCAGCCTTGAGGAAAAGACAATATTCTGATAAAGCCAGTGAGAAGGCTGAGGTTTGTTTACAATACTGCAGATGCGTGCTGAGGTATGTAAGGAGTAGTGAAAAGTAAGACAGGGAATCCAAGTGAACCAAAACCAATATCCTAGGTGAAGAGCATGGAAAAAAATATCCATGAGGAAGAGAAAACAAAAAAACAAAAATACCACATCCCAACTATATATAAGCTGTCCCAAATACATTTCGAGAAAAGTAACCCAACTTTTTCCTCAACATATTTTGGTACAAGTATAACAGAAAACATTAATTTCTGTTAAACTATGTAACAGCCTTATGCAATTAAATTAGATGAAACCAAATAAAAGAATAAACACAAGATTTGGCTTCCTTCAATAAAGCAGATCATAACAATAAACTTGCAAAATAAAATCCAACTTCAGCTAGTTTTTAAAGTAGCAATAAAAGTATAAAGACTTTTTAGGGCACCTGGGTGGCTCAGTTGGTTAAGCGACTGCCTTTGGCTCAGGTCATGATCCTGGAGTCCCAGGATCGAGTCCCGCATCAGGCTCCCTGCTCAGCAGGGTGTCTGCTTCTCCCTCTGACCCTCCCCACTCTCTCTCTCTCATTCTCTCTCAAAATAAATAAAATCTAAAAAAAAGTAAAGACTTTTTAGATAATTATGCGTTAAACTAAGAACCAAAAAAGGGGGACATGATATTTCAAAAAAAGAATAGGCAGGGCAGCCAGGTGGCTCAATTGGTTGAGTGACCAATTCTCGGTTTCTGCTCAGGTCATGATCTCAGGGTCCTGGGATTGAGCCCAGAGTGGGACTCTGAGCCTTAGTTCTGAGTCTGCTCCAGGATTCTCTCTCCCTCTGCCCCTCCTCCCCACTCTCCTCTGCACATACTCTCTCAAATAAAGTAAGTCTTTAAAACAAAAACAAAAAAAGAACAGCCAAACAAAGCCTTCCGGGGAAGGAAAAAAAAAAAACATGGAAAATAGCATTCTTGCAAATAAAAACAAAAACTATTATCATGATTCTGATAAAAAGCTCATTTTAATAGATTTAAAAAGCGTTGGTCAACTTTAAAAAAAAATGAGCTTAAAAGCATATACTAATTTTTTTTAAACATAATTTGTATACCTGAAAGCTTCAAATAGTAAAAAATGAAATTTTCACATTGATTATGTGCCTAGAAACACCTTCTCTAATGATGAAACTTACAACACACGACTGAACTTCTCATTGTGGAAGAAACACATCACAAGTGGAAAAACACTTTCAATTTCCCAGACGTTAAAAAAAAAAAAAAATTAAGAAGTATTTTTTTTTAAGATTTTATTTATTTGAGATGGAGCACAAGCAGAGGGAGCTACAGGCAGAGGGAGAAGCAGGCTCCCCGCCAAGCAAGGAGCCCGATGAGGGACTCGATCCCAAGACCCTGGGATCATGACCTGAGCCAAAGGCAGACACTTAACTGACCGAGCCACCCAGGGGTCCCAAATCAGTAAGTGCTTTATTAATGGGAGAACTGTAGTTACTTGTGATTACACTGCCATTTTGAAATTTTAACATTTGTTTTGGGAAAGCCCAGTCAATCATGTTATTTGAAGTCTGGTGTAGAAATATATATAACTCCTATTTTATAACTACTCACTTAATTGTGCAACACAATGTATATAGTACCCTGCATCTTAAATTACTTTCCAGAACAGAATTTGTCAATTAACTTTTAAACATAGAAAATCTGATCTAGCTCACAGAAAACCACCAAGGTTGGGACCTTTTTATTTATTGAGGTAAATGGTCACACATGTTATATAGGTGATTTCCTTTTCTCTCCATGAATAGAGAACGCAAGACAGAAAAAGATAACCTGCAAAGAATAAACCAATTTGAGTAAGGCTGAGCTGAACTGAATTAATGGTAGGTAGGCATACAATACTTTCTTCCCCATACCTCAGTCCATTCACTCTGCTGTAGTCTGGTACCTATGTCAGCCATTAAGGAAGCCATATCTCCCTACTGGGGGAGAAGGGAGGAAAAAGCTATATACCACCACCAACCACCACCACCCACCACCCACCACCCACCACCACCCACCACCACCCACCACCACCACCACCAAAAGTCTATAAACACTAGGTTTGCCTTTGGGTTCCCCCAAAAGGCAAACCTGAAATGAGAGCTTTGAGGGGAAGCACACTTGAGGGGATTAGGAATAGTGAGATGGATAGAGAAAAGTCTATTAAGGGTTCACTGACTGCTGTGGATAACTGGAGTTCAATCCTGCTAAAAACCCCCTGAGGAATTATGCAGAACATGCCTAAGACTTGTCCCACCTAGGGAAAGAGAAGCTGGGGTATCTATCCACTTCCTTGGTTAAAGGTTGCTCCCAAGGCCATTAAATTCCTACTACTTTCTGGATGTCATGCATGTAGCTGACCACCCTTCACTCAGGCAGAGCAAACTCACAAAGTCCCAAATATTTGTATCAGGACTTTTAGAGAAAAATCTTGTGGGCCCCTGACGAATGAAAATCTCAACTTTCCATCAGTTAGACTTCAAACTCTAACCTCAGAAACAGGTACCTCCCCTGATCTTCCTCTTTAAAAATCTGACCCTCCCCATCAATTCCACCTCCCTTTCTCACAACAAAGGAGCAGCCCACCTGCATCCAGCAAGAATAAACAGGGGAGTGTTATGTTTCAAAATCATCACCGATAATTTTGAAGAACTGCAGGGGCCCAGGTGTGCAAACTGAGAGTGAAATTTAGAGACATAAGTTAATGTGGGGGTGGAAATGATGAAAGTCTGAGTTGCAATGGCTAGGCAGTGAGAAAGCAGTAATAAGGAATACAGAGACCTTTTCCTGAGTATTTTGTTATAGCAAGGAGCACAATAATGGATGGCAGATGGACAGAAAGGGGAGGGCAAGTCCAAGGAGTATTTTTAGTTCTATTTTCAAGAAGAGAAAAGTTATTACAATATCATTTTTTAAAGAATTACATCTTTTTAAAAAAGATTTATTTGAGAGAGAGAGAGAGCATGAGGGAGGGCGAGGCAGAGTGGGAGAGAGAGGGGAAGCAGACTACCCAATGAGTGGGGAGCCCTATGCAGGGCTCGATCCCAGAAACCTCAGCCAAAACCAAGAGCTGGACACTTAACCAACTGAGCCACCCAGGCACCCCTACAGTATCATTTTTTTTAAGTAGGCTCCATGCCCAGCCTGAACTCACGACCCTGAGATCAAGACCCCAGCTGAGATCAAGTAGGACACTTTACCGAATGAGCTACCTAGGTGCCCCTACAATATCATTTAAACAGTGATTGGGATGATCCACATTTACAATTATTATCATTCTTTAATTTGCTCTTCAGCAGTTACTGTGTCAGTTTCACTTCAAAACCTTTTATTTTTATTTTTTTTAAAGATTTTATTTATTTATTTGAGAGAGAGAATGAGAGAGAGCGCACATGAGACGGGGGAGGGTCAGAGGGAGAAGGAGACTCCCTGCCAAGCAGGGAGCCCGACGCGGGACTCGATCCCGGGACTCCAGGATCATAACCTGAGCAGAAGGCAGTCGATCAACCAACTGAGCCACCCAGGTGCCCACTTCAAAACCTTTTAGAGACTTGATTG